TTTTAGGGTCCTTTAAACGGATCCATAAGTGGTTTCTTTGCGGGTGGGGACAGGGATTTGGGGTCAGCAGCGCCAAAACCCTCAACCGAAACCCTAAATCGCAGCAATTCAGACATGTAGCAAATCTTCAGTTGCACTCGGGGAGAAATCCGAAGACTGAAAGGGGCAGCAAGGCAAGAAGAGGCCTTCTTCCACGTAAGCCCCGCGAAAAGGCACGTGGAGACCAGGTTGAGAGACTTTGAGAGGGAGTGCCCAATATGTCTGACTGTAACCCTCAATCCTAAACCTAGTCTGCAACTCGCGAGTTGTGGAGCATGTCTCGCCAAGAAAGCCGTCGGGCTCGGCTCGGGAGAGCGAGCCCGCATGCTAAGTGGGCAGCCTAAACCCTTAAATCCCTGAAACCTTAAAGGACTAAACTATACCCTACAGCCCGAAACGCTTAAACCCTCAAGCCCTAAAGCCCTCAAGACTTAAGCCTTGAAGCCCTACAGCCTTAGGCCTTTAAGCCTTAAACCAGGACATCGTCGGAAGCCGGCTTCAATACGAGCCTTTCTTCGTTCCGCGGCAACCTGTCATCAGATCCCAGCAGTTCAAGAAGGACCCGCTTCCCTTGTTGCACGTCGCACTTCTTGCAAAAGTACTTTAGGCTCCGAGTGGCCAGTTGCTTGCCTTCCCCCCCACGAATATCCCTCAAAACGGTGACAGCAATGATGATACGTGTACTCAAAACTTTCGGTCGGCAGCAGAACAAGTAACAAGAGCAATCTGAGTAAATGTGATGATCTTCATCTTGATCAAAGCGCTGCCTGTCGCCATCAAACTCACAGCCTTAGCAACAATGGCGAATTCCACAACCAGCGGCACCAAGACCGCAAAGCCATCAACTACTATAGGGGCCTTAATCATTACCTATACTAGTTTGGGGGTTCCCTATCATAAATACAAAATATACCGTCCCCCCAGCAAAACCCTATTCTAATTGTTAAGGCACCGACATTACCCTACAACTCGGGCATCAAATCCGCAGGCCCATGAAATTCCCAGCACTTGATGCTGCCCCGGAGGAGTTCCAGCGCATAGGGACATTGATCTTTAACCGGCAGCCCGGGGCCAAGCCAAGCAAATGGAGAGTTGGTTTGGGTTGAGAGAATACCGGGTTCAACAAGGGCTTTTGGAGTTTCATGGGTCTTTGGTATTTGAGGGTGCTTAAACATTGTGGAGGTGCACGAGGAGTGGTGGTGGTGGTGGTGGTGGTGGTGATGGGGGTGATGGTTCTGGTCGTGGTGGCATCATCGTGGTGATAGTAGGTTGGGCCCGATTTTGGGTTCGAGGATTCCGGTTTGAAGGGCTTTGGCGTTTATGAAGGTTTACCGTTCAGGATCAGCGCAGTTCACGACCAAAGTCTCAAAGATGGAAAGCTTGGCGCTCAACGGTGGGTTGCAGACGAAGCAGCCAAGACAGTTCAGGGAGGGGCACGGAACTTGCGTTGCCCCCTCTCCTGCTGTTGATTGACAGCCGCATAAGACCCTGGGAGTCCAGCGGCCCGGAAACTTGAAGCGACCTCGAGCGCCCTCTTCTCAGTGCTCGCCCAAGTTCTCGACACCTTGATGCCATGCTACGGTTGGTGAAATAAATCCTGCATTACCCTTAGTCAGGAATATACCTTAATTCCGATAGTTTAGGGTCCTTGAGGTAATGCAGGATCTGTATCAACAACAATATGATGCTGCGGCAGCAACCCTTCGCAGAGTCAGTCTAAATCTACGCAACGCTAGACGAAAATCCGCAACCCACTACCCTTTCAGGAACCCTCAAGGAAACTCTCAAAGGAACCTAGAAACCCTTAAAAGAGCTCTGAAAGATCTCGGAGACAGCACCCCTGAATTCGAGTTCGACTAAGAGACGCCCCTTAAGGGTTAAGGGTTTAGGGTTTAGATACTATCCTCTGAGCTCCCGGTCATGCCTGTACTATACTAGACCCCAAAACCCTAAACCCTCAACCCCCTACTATTCCTTGAGGCCCCAAACCCCCAACCCCTTGTAGAACCCTTATATCGAAACCTTTAGAGGCCCTAGTCTAATTGTTAAGGCCCCTAAGCCCTCAACACACTCTATGAAGCCGTTCTACAAGTCTGTTTAAGGAGCCTTGTTCTAATTATTGAGGAAGCTGAAACTACAGCATCTCCCGTACGCAACCAATATATGGTCCGTATATTATAGCTCTTCTTTGTAATCATACGTTTAAATTACCAAAGAACTCCTGTTATGTCATTACAGCTCGTTGTTGTAGTTCTACTGGCAGTTAAGCCTGCGGGCCTTAAACCATTAAGCCCTAAACCCCAAATTTTAGAGCCTAGACCCCAAAAACTAGACCCCCAACATCGAAACCCCTAAAACCCTCAACCCCAAACTTTCGACCCTAGACCCTAAACCCTAGACCCTAAACACCGAAACCCCTAAACCCTAAACTTTAGACCCTAGTCCCCCTGAACTCTAAGCCTTGGGCCCCTTGAGCCCTAAACCCTAAGCCCAAAACCTTAAACCCTGAGCCCTAAACCCTAAGCCCTATTGGTCTAGCGTTTAGGGTTTAGGGACCTTAAACCCTGAGCCCTAAGCCCTAAGCTTTAAACCCTAAGCCCTAAATACACCCTTGCAGCTCCAGAGCTAGGCCGGGCTTCGGTCTTGCCTTCCTGGTGGCCAGTGGCGTGGCCCGGGACTACCCGGTCCTGGGCCCTGGCACATTAGGGCTTCAGGGTTTAGGTTCAGGGTTTAGGGTTTCTGACTTATATAGGGCTAAGGGTTCAGGGTTTAGGGCTACAGGTTTAGGGTTTTGGGCTTAAGGGGCTTGAGGTTTAGAGTTTAGAGGCTTAGGTCAATCAGCAATCCCGGGTTGACCCGAATTAAATTATCTGTACGCTGCTTAGTTGCGTCTGGTGTATGTATGCTGAAAAATCAAAGGTCAGACAGAAGAACAGACCCAGAGAACTCAATACCCCTCAATTAAGGAATATACCTTAAGTCATAATACCCTTTGGCCCCGGTAATTTAAGGTATATTCCTTAATTAAGGGGTATTGGGTTCACTGGGGACAAGCTGACGGGCACACTCAGTTGTAAGCACATGCGGCACATGGGCCCTCAGGCCAAAGCTCGTGCCTTCTATCCACATGGGAGTTTCCGAAAATAAGGGGTACCCTATTTGGGGGTCCTCATAATAAGGATCCTACTGTTTCAGGTACTCTATTAGGGTCCCCTATTTTGGGAAACCCCCCACATTCCGTGATTCCTTTATCTTCATCTTGCTGTTACGGCATGCGTTGCTGCCAACTCCCTCCAACATTCCGTCGGTTAGAATTGTGGACTAAGCGTAACAAGGAAGCGATGTCCGGAACTTGACTGTGATTTTTGCAGTCGCCCAGGTGCGGATGATCTAGCATCTGTTTGGTCCTTGCGTGAAGGCAATCATCACTACTTAATTGTTTTATATATGATATGATGTAATACTATACTGTGCCATATAACATTATAGTATAGTCTAGTATAGTATAGTATATTACAGTATATTACACATGGGATGTGGGAAACATGACGATCATGCGCGGGGTAGCAGGGCAAGAGTAGCGAGAACAGTGTTTCACTTTGGCGACTCTTTCGGCCCAGGGCATTCGATGCTTGCTGGTTGCATGGACTCCGCGTGGTATCGTCTCTTCTTCTTGTTCCTGTTGCCTTTATCGTCTGTAGAATTTCTGCCGTACCTAAAGTTTAGAGCTGTTTGTGAAACCATTCTTTCATGAGACTAGCATGTGTTGCCACGCAGGGTAGTGCCTCGCACAGTTTTGGAGTGTTTGGAGGTTTGGGGTTTAGGGGAGTTCTTGTGGAAAGTTGCGTGCGCCCCCCTGTGCTCAACTGCATTCGAGCAAGTTCCATACAATGTTTTGCGCGGGTAGCAGCCGGGAGCGCAATATTTCAAGGGCCCTCCGGCATCGAATTGCTCAGATCTTCCAAGAGCCCTTCACTAAGGAATATACCTTGATTAAAATCTATAGTCGAATCGCTATTATGCTATGTAAGGTATGTTCCCTAAGTAAGGGGTTTTGAGAGATCTCGAAATCTGTAGCCCCAAACCCCTAAACCCTAAAACATAGACCCTCCCTACACCCTAAACCCAAACTGCTAAACCCTACTTGGGGGTTCATGGATAGTTATAAGTAGGGTTATAAGTTATCAGTAGGGTAGCCATAGTAATAGCCCACATTAAAGGACTTATAACTCCACTTCTAACTACCCATGAACCTCCAAGCAAACCCTAAAGTGAACCTGAGGTTGACATGTCCACCTTCCTGCGCAGGAGCAAGGCTGCGACCCAAGTCCGAACTGTGTAGTGAGCGTGCAAGGAGTACTTGGAGGACAATACAATTGCTCTAATGGTAATACGGTTAATGATATAAATCCTGCATTACCCAGAATAAGGAATATACCACAATTCCCATAGTTTAGGGTCCTTAGGGTACTGCAGGATTTATACCATCAACTGTAGTACTAGTACTAAGAGCAGTAATACCATTCCTAATGGTACTAACAATAACAATCACAGGGAGCATAAGAGCCACAACGATCATGGTCAACATAATGCTCATGATATTCATGAGAGTCATCATCATCACAATAATATCAATGACAATGACAATAATAACTAATAACATTGAAAATGGTAATTCGAATGAGAATAAGAATAATAACCCTAGTTACTAAGTCGCATAATCCTTTAAGAAGATCGTGTCCTGGGATTGACTGAATAAGTTTGCGCAGATGTCTTTAACTTCTGCTCGCAGACATCCATGCAGGGTTGCAAGTTCGCGTACTCACGGGAATTGAATTATGCTCGCACTAGCTGTGCCTGGAGGCGAGTGGCCCGCATTTCCGGCCCAAGTTGTGGGAAGCTGGGTGACTTGTCCTTTCCCTGCGGCCTGCACCACAGAGAATTCGCTAAAGCTCTGACAGATGGCCATCGGTCAGCTGCCCGTACACGTGGCATGCGACGTCCCAGATGGGATAGCGCTTCGTATGGAGGATGTTGACGGCATCGGCGTCCCGAGTATGTCGATGGCTGTTTCCATGAAATTGAGCTTTCCTATTCATGACCTTCTCAAGATGTTGGTTTCGTGGCGGGAGCATGAGGCTCGGTCCAGCCAGCATGTGCCTTCAGCTCAAGCGGCCGAAGAGAGTCCCAGAGAGGCGACGGAACTCTGCGACTCAGCGAAATTCGGGCCGGTTCCTCTCCGGAACTCCCCGGCCTATGTGTCGTATAAGGCTCAGAACGGCTGGGAGCGGATCTCTGCTCCAAAAGGGGTCTTGCTGGAAGACGAGATGAAGCTGAGAGCCGTCGCCTTTCAGGCCTTGCCTCGTCCGGAACACCGGGCCAGGAGCTATGCAGACTTCAAGGAAGATCCCACTTCCGTCGCTTCCGTCGCCGCTGCGACGGCCGACTCTGCGACGTGTAGCCCAGGGCCTTTGTTGTATCCCAAGGCACCACCCCCTGGCTGGGAGTCGCCGGCTGTGCCACAAGCACCACCGCGCCGGAGATCCGCACCGGTGCTGTTAGCAGTGCCCGAAGACAGCCCGGGCTGGAACATTTGAGAGGAGGTGGGCACGGCTGCGGAGTTTTGTGATGTGATGGGTCTGGCAAAATGTGCCATGTAGCAAGTAAAGCAGACGAGTTCAAAAGACTTTTTGGTAGTTAGATGGGAGAAAATCCCGAAGTCCCGGTGATGCTAGCAACGCATGACATGTGCTGCCCGGAGACACTGCGAAGCGGAGACGCCAGGGGTACAAAAGAAGCTCCAGGCAATTGCTGGGGTGATCGAAGAGGGTTGAGGAAATGGAGGCAGGAGGCTCCGATTTGCGCTTCGCGGTCAATTCGCTCAGGTCGATATCAAGCAGGTTGGCAACTTCCTCGGGGAGGCCGCGCCGGTGCAACATGAAGTGCACAAGAAGCTGCTAAAGGCTTCGGCTTCCATGAGGTCCCTCTATAAAACTCTACTATCATATACCACCCAACCATCAGGCCTGCATGTTACGCCCACATGCGGAGAGCAGCGGCAAGAACCTGCGAAATAGTTCGCTCATCAAGCCTTTGTTCACAGAGGTGCACCGTTTAAGAGCAGCTTAGGACCTGATAGTTAGGGCCCCAGACCCCTCATATAAGGACCCAGACCCCTTCAAAACCCTAAACCCTAAACCCTTAAAGCCTTAGGGACCCAATGATAAGGTCCCTGGGAGCCTAGGGTCGCTTAAGCAGGAATCGGGCTCGCAGCCGAGCTGAGACTCCAGCGCCCAGAGAGCCGAGCAGAAACGCCCTGATCAAAGAAAAAAGCACACCCAAGCCCCAAACCCTGCTTTTAGCAGCTGAATGACTGCACTTTAAACTTTTTGGGGATAGTATGATCCGCTATAGAACTGAAAGTCTACACTTGTTTGTGCTTTTGAACTCAGCCCCAAACCCTAAACCCTAAACCCTAAACCCTAAACCACAAACCCAAAAGCCCCTACAGTCGAAGCCCAAGAGTTCCTTAAGAGTAGTGGAAAGGGAATCCCAGCACTCGTCGTCGAGGATCCGGTTTCCAGCCATTAGGGATTTACGATCAGCCCTAGGCCCCCTAAACCCCTAAACCCCTAAGCCTCTAAGCCCCTAAAGCCCCTAAGCCCCTAAACCCCCTAAACCCGCATCCCGCACTGGAAGGCCTTTCTACACACGAAACCCTACAGGAAAGGCCCAGCCACTCTACACCTGCAAAGACCCCCCCCAGCGCTTATGGTAGTTTAGGGGTTTAGGGTAGTTTAGGACTTTGGGTTTAGAGCAGTTTAGGATTTAGGGTTTAGCGCAGTTTAGGGTT